CATCATGATTTGTATGCACAACTGCTTTGGTACCCAATAAATATGCTCTAAGTTTTTCGAACCCATATACGACGGCCAGCAACTCTTGTTTTGTGACAGTGTAATTCTTTTGAACGTTATACAAGGTTTTGCTAGCATAATATATGGGGTGAAAGAACTTGTTCTTCCGCTGACGAAGAACAGCGCCAAGTGCCAATCCTCTAGAATCGCACATCATTTCAAATGGGAGATTGTTTTAAAGGGTTGTGTAATAAGGGATGAAACAAGTTTCTCTTTCAAGCTCACAAAATCCTTTAAACACGCAACATCAAATTTGAAATTACTTTCCTTTTCAAGCAACCTAGATAATGGAATAGCAACTTTGGAGAAATCTTTGATGAAGCACCTATAAACCCGACATGCCCAAAAAAACTTCTTACTCCCTCTACCGATATTGGAGGAGGGCCTTAACAAAGTGTGTCATGCCAATAGTGCATGGGATAGTAAAAGCTCTGGGAGCCTCCTTCTTTTGCACTAACAATCTAGTAACAATGGCACTACAATGCTGCAACTTATCATCACCTTCAAAACTGACAGCCCTCTTTTTGGTCACAAGATCTTTCATGAACATAGCATATTCGGGCATCTGTTCTAGTGCTTCAATTAAAGGAACATTTATCGATAATTGGTTCAATATGGATATAAACTTGGGATACTTTCATTCTTCAGTTTTCTTGACTAATCTTTGTTAGAAGGGAGGCAGAGGTCTTGGCATTTGAATGATCTTTTGAGTAACTTCAGCTTTCTTCTCATTTTGATCCTTTGGTTGTTTCACTACTTCAACTTCATCCTCCTCGAGTTCATTTTCCCTTTCCACACTAGTCGGTATATGAGGGTCAATAGTCTGTTTTCCACCCCTAGTAGTAACTACCATGCAATGTCCATCATTCTTTGGATGATGGATGGTACTACTGGGAAGTGTTCCTTGTTGACGCGGATTGCACATGATTAGATAATTGGCTCAGTTGTTGCTCAATCTATCTAATTGATACTGCATGTGAATCTACCTTTCTCTCAATGCTCGATAAGTCAGTACACATCGCTTTCACATTGTCATCAGTTAAGTCAAACCTTTTAGTCATCTTAGCCATCATATCCTCAATACGATTAAAACTTGACCCTCCATCTCGAATCCCTGGTTGAAAATAAGGGCCACTCTTATCATTTTTGTTATTATACCCATTCTTGTTGTAGTTTTTATCACGATTATAGTTCCCATCACAATTGTAGTTCCTTTCACGATTTTAATTATTGTAGTTTCGGCCTTTATTTCCTCGACTTTGGCACCAAATATCCTGATTGTATGCTTGGGCATTGGTCCGGAAACCCCCGTCTGATCATTCACAAAATTTGCATCTTCTTCGTATATATACTTATCAGGCGGTGGAACTCCTTTTTGATAATGTACTACAATAACTTTCTCCGCATTCCCACTCACATGTTTCAGTACTAAGATAACCTTTGTTCTCAACTACGACATCTCTTCACGAATATCATCATTGGATTGATTTTGTGTGGCATGTATAGAAAAAGTGCTCTTTGTGGTAGCCGATTGTTTCTGGCAATCTTCTCCAGCTTCTTTGTTATTTGCATAAATGTGTTAGCTTCGTACGATCCTCCATAAATAGTTTACAACACAGCTATACCATTGTCATTTAATCCTCTATAAAAGAACTCCTTGAGCAATTCATCATTAGTTCGATGATTTGGTTCATATAGCCTTTGAATGTGTCTCATGCATCACTAATTGATTCTCCAAGTGAAGCCACAAGTTATGGATTCTTTCTTTAAGCTTCATCTTCTTTGACACCGGAAAATATTTATCCAAGAACACTTGGTGTAGCTCGTTCTAAGTGGTGATTGAGTTATACGGTAGCTCAGACAACCATATGGAAGCATCACTTGTCAATGATAGTGGAAACACCCTTAACCCAATTGCATCCATTTCTAGATCTGATCTTCCCACACTACTCATACAAACATTGCTGACTTTACTTAGATGAGCATATGGGTCCTCAAATAGTAGCCTAGCAAACAACCCTCTAGACGTAAGCATTTGCATCAAACTGTTGGTGACAATGAACGTAAGACCGAGTGGAAATGGGGGTACAACAATGCTACCCATTGATCCTGTAATATTATGGTTAACCAAGTAGTTATGACGCATATCGGGTGCTTGTCGATTTTGCACTCTCTCAGGATTATCAAAGGAAGGGCTATTTGGAATGTTTCTAGGCACTTCCACTACTCCCAGACATTGAACTCCAAGCACCTTATCATGACCCTCTCCATTTGGATCATCATCTAGTCTCATATTATGACATGGTCTAGTCATTCTTCTAAGAGTTCTTCTTAATTCAAGATCGTAAGGGGTCATGGGACCTTGACACCGTGTACTTGGCATACACTGAGAATAAGACCTATAGAAAACAAAACAAAAATAAAATGTAAATCATGAAATAATTGACTGAAGTGCAATCACAAAATTAGTCTAATATAAAAGCCTTATTCTCTGGCAGCGGTGCCAAAATTTGATACGCCCAAATTACACCTCCTTAAAGAAGTATAAGCGGTTGTTGTCAAATAAAGAACCTAATAGAGGTTAGGGTCGATCCCATGAGGAATACGTTCTAGACTTAGGCCAATTTACTATTGATTGTACTTTTAGTCAGATTATTTCCATAAAAAGGGGATTTTGTAACACAAAATAATTATTGATTAATTTTAGCAAAAAGTAACCAAGTAAACAAGATTTGCAGATTTGTAAGATCAATATAAGAAGAAACTAGGGTACATGTGTTCCCTACAAGTTCTTAACGCTATAAATCTTATAATAGTAACCATTTCTTAGTGTTTGACATGCAAAGTCGGTAAGTTAGGTATCTCCTAAGTGAGTCCAAGTAGGGAATTTCACCATACAACTTGGTCGGTTTACGAGTATATGTTCTACTAACCCTTTCCCTTGTCCCCAAATTAGCCCTGGCATCTTTATGTTAAGCTATTAGATAGAGGATAATCAACGCTGGATATTCGTTGTTCAATTTCTTCTCCCATTCATTACTTCCTTGGTCGGACAAGTAGGAATAAGGCGAGTTCTAACGTTGCGCACCGTTAAAAAGCATTCAAAACGAAGAGATCAACAATACATGCATAAACACTATTCAAGGATTACTTAATTATTAGGTCAACTTTGTTAATTACTCATAGTTCCCACAACCCTAGTTGTGGATTTAGTTACTCCTTCTTGGGTGATAACAATTTGTAATATGACTAATAGAATAAATCATGAACTTACAATTAGGGTAGATGAAATCTGAAATCTTGAATTGATGATTAAAAAGCAATATAATAAACCAACACTTCAAGAATTAAATGCTCAAAATGTTTGCAAGTTAATTCTCAAAGCCAAAAGTAAAAGTATCAAATTGTCTAATAACCTGAAAAATGAAAATTACAACTAATATTTATAAACATCAAATCCTAAATAAAGTAACAAAAGAAAATCTAGGAAAATTTAGGTTTGCCAGTTGTTTCTACGGTTTGTACTTGCGACTCGTAGGAATTCCTGCGTTCGTTGGTACCTTCTATCAATCACCAGCTAGTCCTTCACCTAAGAGCAATTTCTATGGGTATGATCTACTACCCGTAGATCTTTTTACGACCTGTCCTGGCTAACCGTCATTAAGGTATTGGAGCTCAACTTCTCTAAACTTTTCCACTACTTAATTGTATGGCTCGTAGAAGTTACTATGGCTCATCATTAGCTTCCGTCGTTTTACACTTAGCTCCAGATATCAACACTTCAAACCACGACTCATTCCTACGGCTTGTAGGTCGAGTCTTCAAAACACCAAAAATAACTGTTGCTGCAACTTTTCAGTCCCAACTTCTCCAAACTATATTTTCCAACAAAATCCAAGCAAAAGACCATTACATCTACTAATAAATGATAAAGACGCACGCAAAAATCCAAGTTTAAAGCATCAAAAGTATTGTAAATCTGCGGTACATCATCGCCCAAACTACTCCTGTTTCACGAGGTTAAAGAAGTCAATGCAAAATACAGTAACCCATTGAGGCCTAATCTCATTGAGAGAGTACAAGAATCTTCTTATAATTTTCTATTGAGATTCAAGAAAGTAACTATTGTGAGAGAATTGGGAGTTTGTAATTAAGATTAACTAACTACATGGTTTATAACAATAGAGAAGACCAACTAGGGTTACAAATGTCAGATTATAAAACACCAATAAATGTTATACTAACCACTCATTCAAGTGTGTTCAGTGCACAAAACAAATGAATCTGTTAGTCTCCTAAAGCCATTCAACCCAACTAAGAGAATATCACCCCAAGTCCTTTTGAAGCACTTGAGAGCCAAATTAATTCGTTTATCTATCAAAGTTTGAAGTTAACTATCTCCTCTCAATCTCAACTTATTAGATGGTTATTGGTAGCACCGAATCCCTATTAATGAACAATTTTCCTAATTTTGTACCTGTATGGTCAAGCAAGTCAAAATAGGGGTGATTTTCTTGAGTTGGAGTGGAAAGCTGAGATGTGATGTTGAAGAAGAATTTTCCATTGAGGGAAGTGATTTTTCTTAAATTTAAGAAAAATAAGTTAATTTGAAAAATATTTAAATCTTGAAAAAAAGATTTGAAATGTTTGATACCTCCCACCGAGGTCATTGGGTAGTTTAACGACTAACAACAATGGGAGGAAATTATATGAGTACTCTCTCTTTGTACAGTGACTTGAATCAATCATCCATCCATCCGTCCATCCTCTTTTATATTTTTGCACCAAAATCAACAGGCAGCCAATCAAATCTTTTTTACAAAAAACAAACATTACATATCTGCAAAACAAATAAGATACTCGGAAAATGAATTTCATGTTTATTGTACATAATTGAAAGCTGAAACGAAAATTTGGAGCAACGTTGGATGAGTCTACTAGGAAAAAACAATACCTAGAAATTAAAAACAAGAAAATCACTTGGAACTCCCCTCCACAGAAAAATCCAATATTTCCCCAGCCAGCTATAATTGAGCTTTCAGTTCCTTCACTGATTTGATTTTTGAATCACAAATTCTAAGGAAATTAGATAAAGCAGTTCGCTGACTAGTAATGATTTTTCTAGAAATATCAGCAGGACTCCAAGACTGCAATGCTCGAGTGATCACATCACCAAGACCTCTATCAATTGTTGAAGACGAGGTTAAAGTTTCAATAACTCGGTAGACCTTCCCGGGTCCTAACTCTCCATCTATTTTGAGTGATGAAAGTATACTTTCCGATTTGTCATTGTCTGACTTGCTCATTTGTTGATTTAGCCAGTCTCTAACCAGCTCTATAGTCTCACATACACAACGGATTGAATCCTGTACTTCTTGACACAACTCAATGTTACACTGCTCCGAAGGTCCACCTTTCTTTTTTCTCTTTCCTGAAGGCAATAATGACCTGGCACAACACTGAATCACCATAATATGCCAAGCTAAAGGTTCAGTTACCAATAGCACCAGATGAGGAAGATCACATCCGGGTGATGACTCTAGTGCTCCCATTGATCTCACTTTATCCAGGATATACTTCTTCAGAATCAAATTCACAAGAAGCCATGTACTACCATGCTTATTTGAATCTCTATCTACTTCATGAGAATAAAGATTCCAAGCATTTAAAAATACAACAAAGTTCATCCAATCAATCAGATTGCAGCTCCATGCCTGTACGGAAGGTGATCAAACATACAAAAATTTAGTCTATCACAAAAACTTACAGTTTAACAGTTGACACCAGACAGCAAATAATGAAAGTTTGGAACGAAATGACCTAGAAATATCATTCTTCATGCCTAAGATAGTTTTGAGCTGCATCAAAGAATCAATGCTAATCCTTCAAACGAAACATGATGATTCTTTTACAACTGATATAAGCAATTCTTTTCTCTTCTCTTGTAATTCAACTGTCCAACTGGAACAATATGCAACTTTTCATGCATTTTATGGAGCTTTGAATTATAAACGACATACAAACCTAAATCAACCAACTTTACTTCAACAGAAAGTTTCTCCCCTCTCATAAGTGTGATCACCTGTGATATGGTCAGGCCCCATTGCATATTTGCCTCCATTGAAATCAGTTTCAATATGCTATATATCTAGGCTGTGTTTTCATACTTGATTATTATAGCCTTTAAGTCCATTTATAGTGATGACTGATGTATGTGCCAGCTTTAAGAAGTATTATAGTCTCCTCAGTTTCTACTCTCATGCTCCCAAGAACATGCACCCTAGAGATACTTCAAAACAGTTGGAAATTTCTGGGTTACTCCATCCCCCATCAAGCATAATGCAAATAATCTTTCTATTATCTACCTCAGAATGTAGGAAAAAAACTGAAAAAACAAAAATGTTCAAAACGTTGTATGGAACTAAACCTCTAGCTTTTATGCGTTCGGAAACGACCATATTATTACTAAAAGTTAATGTTGAACACCAAACAAATACAAAGTTTATTCGAAGCCCAAGCCTCTTTGAAATCTCAGTAGATGTAAGTTCTGAAATTTCAATTTGAGGAATGCAGTAATGCACCTCGTCTATTTCTTCAGTGAAAGGCCCATTTCTATGTTGAACCTGTACAGTTAGGAATTCCAATTCTCTTTGAAGACTATCCCAACCATTACAATGATGTGAAGAGATAACAAATAACAACAAAAGTCATGATAATAAGGGCTCCATAAGTATGCTTGTATTATCATAATTGAAGCAAGAAACAGAGAACAAAAAGTACTTTAACAAACAAAAATATAATAGCTTTGGAAACATCCTCAGTTCCTCACACAGAGTATGAACACAAAAGAATTTACCTCTGCATCCTTAAGGCCACTCGAAATATCAAAAGCCATCCCTACAGCATCCTGGAAGGAAAATCCCAAGATATTGGCATACCGCTCGAGTAACAATCTCAGCTCCGATGATAGCTTAGGATCAAAGACAGAACCGTTTGCTTCAACATTTCCCTTGACAGATGATGATGCACATTGAATTGAGAGAAAGACAAGTCTTGGTAAAAGGGATCTCTTCTCAATTGTTTTAACCACTTTAGCTTGAGACTGTTTGATTTGATCATCCTGCAATTAAGCGTAAAAGCAATTACAAAGTGATGAATTTTTTTCCCACAAGCTTAACATTAGGAAGAGGTTCTGCATGAATTTCATACATAAAAGAAAGAATCATCAAAACTATAAAAAATAAGAAAATTGAACAGGGGCATAGTCTCAGGTCCTGATGTCAACAGGAATCTGGCTCAAATAACAAGACTACTTCAGTGATTGAACTATTGTTATGCCATTCCGAACCGTAGCTGACAAAGAAAAGTTCAGTTATACACATAAAATAACATGTATGATGTAATGTATAACCTTCAACCAGCCAACTCAACTCCAGACACCATGGGAAGTAAGAAAGCTGACTGTGTTGGTTTAATTCACTGGCGTCATAAAATCTCGATTTAAGCAGTAAAAATATCTAGAATTTCAAGTTGTATCAGGTAACAGTCCAATGTTGTTTCAGTGCCATACTATTTAGCTATCTAATTTGGCCATCTTAAGTAGCTTATGCTCACATGGAAAAGTATAGCAAGTTCATGAAACTCTCTTTTTCCTTTTTTAGGAATGGTGGTGTCCATGCCAAACTTCAAGGCATCTCAATTATTCCATTGGGTACCTGCTACCTCCTACCAGTAAGGGTACCAAGTAATTGTCCACCAAAACTTGTAAATGGCACGAAATTACCGAGTGTTTTTCTTTCTTAGGATTTGAAACATCATGAACTACTTTTATGTATACAAAAACGTATGCAATATAATCCCACAAGTGGGGTCTGGGTGGGGTGGGATATATGCAGACCTTACCCCTACCTTTGTAGGTAGAGAGGGTGTTTCCTCTAGACCCTTGGCTTAAAAGAAGTGTAATCAAAACTACATTGAAAGAAAAATATCGACAATAAAATAGCAAGATACAAAGCAAATGAAGCAGTACGTAGTGAAAAAGAAGAATATGATACGATCTGACTACTAACAAATATAATACTAAATAAGGATAAAAGGAGACTGACCCCCTCCACATAAAAATATGACCACACTCTATTACCTGCAACCATCCCTAATCCTTGACCTCCATACATTCCTATCTACTGTCATGTCCACAGCAAGCTGAAGATGTCATGTCTAATCACATCTCCCCAATTTTTCTCCGGCCTACCTCTACCTCTACTAAAACCTGCTATAGCCAATTTCTCACACCTCCTTACTGGGGCATCTGCGCACCACACACCTACTCTTCACATGTTTGAACCGACTACTTTTTTTGTAGACACAACAAACATTGTTGGAAGGAAAATGTGAAGCATCAGAATCAAGATTTTCATTTTGCTTTCTCAAAGCTCTTCCTTTAAGCATTATTCCTCATTATAGAAACCAACTCCTACTGACATGTAATGTTGGATATGTTAACTCTAGTACAACCCCTGCTTATCATATATTAAAATAATGTGCAGTATTAACTTAAGGAAAAGAGTTTTCATTAAAAAATATAACACAAACACATGCATTACCTTGGAGGAACTTATATATAAGAAACTGAAGTTATTATTGTTCTACATTATCTCCCCATTCATTTCCATTTACCTTTTCAGCACTTAAAATCACATGGCATTCATCAAATTGAAACATGGGATGAAAATCATGGAGACCAGGGCTCAAATCTCAACAAAGACAAAAAAGCATTTAAGAAATTTCTTCAACTCCTTAAGCTTGGTAGGTGGAGCGATTCGATACAAGTATTGATTGGAGGCACCAGGTACCCAATAAGTTCAAATTGTTCCTCTCACACTGACACCAGTACCACCAAACGTTGGAGTACCCTACATTGGTTGAAAGAATTGAGTTAGTCTTCCCTTGTATTCTTGAGCAATCCACACCTTATGCTAACTTTTGGGGTTGAGTAAGGTCCAAGACTTATTCTTAACATGGCGTTAGAACTAGGCTCATTCATATTCTTGGTTTCCCAAATGTTAGGCCTCTAATTTATGTTGTCTGCACTCCAACTGTCCAGCTATGGTGTTAAGAATATCCCAAATTAGTCAAGGGGATAGTTTCTTTTCTCCTTATATAATTTTGGGTAATCCTCACCACATGAACTGGCTTATGGGGTTGAGTTAGGCCCAAGGTTCATTTTCTTACCCAAGACAAATGTGATGTTTGTGAGGGACAATAACATACTGACTTATCATTTCTCTATATGAAGATCCAAGAGAAGTAAGATATAAATGTAATGTTATATTTCTAGTACAAAATATATAGAGGCATTTTTACATTAGTAATTGAAAGGTGAGAAAGATGGGTTTTTTGTAAAGCCTTGTATCAAGATGATATTCTCCAATATTCGTTGGGGAAGAGAACCAAACCATTAGAAAAAGAAATAGATCAAGGAAATGTTGATTTCCAAGAGCAGAAGAACCCTGGTGGCAAGAACAGTGACAATAGAATCAATGAGAATAGAACAAGGGATGCATAAGGAAGACTTTGCATACAAGTTCATTATTAAGTTACAACATCATTAAGGGAAATTTTCAGAAACCTCACCTAAGATTTAACTTCTAACATTAACCTCCTATGTGGTTTACAATATTATGCTTACCTCCCAGCTCCCCCTGATCCTTTTTGTAACAATTATTTTAACTTATCATTAATGAAAGGGAAAAAGGACAAATATACCCCCGAACTATCATAAATGGTACGTATATACCCTTCGTTATACTTTGAGATTGTCTATATCCTTACCGTCAATCTTTTAGGTTGTGTATACCCTTAAAACTAACTGACGGACACATGGCTTCATCTCAACAATTTACCCGATTTTATTTATTTATTTACCCAAAAACCCACCCATCTTTCTTAATTTACCCACCCATGATCCAAATTACAACACCATGGCATTTAAAATTAAAATAAAAAGCAAAGAACCCTCCTCCATTAAAACATAACCCAAAACCTTTTAAATCAAACAAAAGACAAAATTGTTCTTCAATACATCTTCATTTGCAACTCTTTTTCAAATCTCATTAAAACAAAGACACAGTAGCATGTGCTTTCGTTGAAAAACAAGAGATCAATTTTAATTTGTTGTTCAAATCGATTTGTTGTTGAATGGGGTTGGAAATACTATCACCATTGATAGACAAAACTTCAAGTTTAAAAGTGGGTCTTCAATAGAATCAAAAAATTTGAATTTAAATTGATTTGTTGTTGTTGAAAGGGATTGGAAATACTATCATCATTGATGGACAAAACTTCAAGAAAAGTGGGTTTGCAATCAAATAAGAAAATTTGAACTTAAATTGATTAGTTGTTGTTGAAACGGGTTAAATATACTATCACCATTGATGGATAAAACTTCAAGCTTTAAATTGGGTTTGCAATTGAATCAAAAAATTTGAGCTCAAATTGATTTGTTATGGTTAAAAGGGTTCAAAAATATTCTTGAAATATATTTTGATGAATTGAACCAAGTGCACCATATTTTTGTGATTGTTGTTGGAAAGCTTTTGATTTTAATTTTGCACAAGGTTAAAAATATTCTTACAATCTATTTGTGTTATTGAAAGGGGTTGATTCATTGTTGTTGTTTGAAACTTTACAGAGGATGCATTGGGTTTATTATAGATGAAAATTTGGTTATTTGGTTGTGGGTCGGGTGGATCTTTTAATTTTAGGTAAATAAATAATTAAAATTGAGTAAATGGTTGAGATGAAGCCACGTGTCCGCCGTTAGTTTTAAGGGTATACACAATCCAAAAGTATAACGGTAAGGATATATACAACCTTAAAGTAGAACGGAGGGTATTAACATACCATTTGTAATAGTTCGGGGGTATATTTGTCCTTTTTCCCTTAATGAAAAAATATGATCTAACTAATTTTCCCTTTCAATATACCATTTTATTTTATTTATTTTGTAAACACTGTTTTAAAGATGCAACTTCAGAAACCCTAATCACATATAATTCTACGACTTCAACAAACACAAGAAGAATGATAGACTGCTTCGTCAGACTCGTCTATGGAAGAGTTGCCCTACTTTCGCCTTAACCATTTTGAAATATTTACCCTTGCAGATTAGTCCATATAGCACTCAGTGTCCTCAAAGGCGATCGCCTTTGGCGAATAGTGAGGCGACGCGAAGCGCAACCCATGCGCCTATTACTGGCAAGGTGAGGCGACACTGAAAAGGCGAGGCATTGGCGACTTCCAAGAGGCGAGGCGAGGCGAGGCACTAAAGGCCTCACCTTTTTTATAAATAAAAAAAAAGGCCTGATAATTAAGAAGCAATACTAGAGTTTATTTGGAGTTTTGACAAACCCACAACTCTACTCCCTTTTTTCTTTCGTTCGCAGTCTGCAAGCTTCGGAACCCTCTTCTTCAGCTTCCCGACTCTCTTCTCCAGCAGGTACTTCTTCTTCTCTCTTCTTCTTTCTTCTTCAGTTCTTCTTTCTCCTCTGCTTTGTGTGACCTCAGCAAGTACGTTTTCAGCACCCTTTTTTTCTTTTTCTTCTTCTCTTCTTCTTCTTCTCCTCTTCTCTTCTTCATCTTTAATATGCAGTCAGCACAGCTGTGTGCAGTGTGCAGAGTCTCTGTTTTTTATGCTCTGGTTTTTAATTTCTGGAGCTATTGACTATTGCAATCTGCCTATATTTTTTTAAAAAAATCTAATCCTTCTATATTTGTGTCTTCCCTACTCAATTTAGTTTTATACTAAACAATATAGTATTTCTTTGTCCATAAATAGTGATTTCAATGACGTATGATGCTAGCAAATAAAAGGACATTGGATGGAATTATGGTATGCAAGGACCAACAAAAAAATCACTTATATGTATGTTCTGTAAAGTTACTTATAATGGTGGTGTTACTCAACACAAACAACTTTTGATGGGTGGAAACAGAAATGTAAAACAATGGTTGTCGGACAGAAGTTATAGAAGAAATAAGGGCATATGTGGAAACTAAAATTGCGAGTTATCCGAAATATCAGATGAGGTAGCAAGAAGAACATGTGGTTAATATTGATGATGATGATAGTATGGATAAATATGGTGAAATGATGCCTCCCTCAAAAACTCAAAAGATGTCTTCTAGTGTAAGTGCATCATCCACGGAGCGGAACGTGACGAAATGTCCTCCCAATCTCTATTTTTCAGGAAAATCACAACAAAAGGGAGTAGGATTTGATGAAACCTACAAAATTCTATGGGAGCGCGTGGTAAGTGCTTTTGCATAACGGATGTACGATGCGGGGCTCCTTTTTAATTGTGTTAATTACAAATCATTTGATAAATTCATTGAGACAGTAGGCAACATGGCCCCGGAATGAAGCCTCCTTCCTTCCATGAAATTAGAGTTACTCACCTAAAAAAAGATGTGAAGAAAGTGGACAAAACTATTGATGAGCATAAAGTGCAATGGAGAAAGTTTGGTTGTTCCATTATGATAGACAAATGGATGGCACAAAAAGGTTAAATGATCATCAATATTTTGGTGAATTCTTCAATCGTTAGTGTATTTCTTGGTTTTGTTGATGCTAACAATAAATATACAGATTCTACCAAAATGTACAAACTTGTTCGAGAACACTATTGAAAGAATATGATTGGAAAATGTTGTACAAGTTGTCACTAATAACGCTAGTGAGAATATTAAAGCAGGAAGCAAGATGATAGGAGCGTATCGACACATTTATTGGACTCCATGTGTTGCTCATTGCATCAATTTGACGTTTGGTGACATATTCAAGATTAACCCATATGCTTCAGGTAATATCACTCTCCTATCCTCTAACTTTCTTTATAGTTAAAAATACTTGTGAGAAATATAGGAAAAGAATATATTGAATTGTTGTTGTGTCTACATTATTACATTGAGACCCTATTTATAGACCCTAGAATACAATCCTTTACCAAGTAGGATACTATTTAGTATTCCTATTTCTATTTCTATTCCTACTCCTATTCTAATAGGATTGTATAAACCTATTCCTATTCTTATAGGATTGTATAAACCTATTCCTATTCTAATAGGATCGTATAAACCTATTCATATTCTAACAATACTTATTAGCTACTAATTACTATAATATTACTTTAACACTTTTTAAGAAGGCCATCAAGATCCATTTTTACAATAGTCAAAGGTCATTGTGGTTGAACTTGATGAGAAAATTAACCAATGAAAGAAATTTGGTGAAACCAGCCAAGACAAGATTTGCAACAAGCTACTTGACTTTGAAAGCTATGTACAAACAAAAGAAAAACTTGAGAATTCTAGTCCTCTCAAACGAATGGACTTCAAGTAGATTTGTAAAGGAAACTTTGGGGAAAGAAGTTGCCAACCTTCTTATTTCTTCCCACTTTTGGAATGATGTTGTTCGGGCACTTAAGTTTGTGGTCCTTTGATAGTATTGTTTTGTTTGGTAGATGGGGAAATAAACCACCAATGGCCTATATCTATGAAGCAATGGATAGAGCCAAGGAAACTATTGAGCGGGCTTTTTGTGGAGTTAAGAAATAATATAAGAAAGTGTTTGAAATTATTGATGCAAGGTGGACTGACCAACTTCATCGGCCTATGCATGTTGCAGGCCATATTTTGATCCCGGGATTGTTTTATAAAGCTCAAGAAGATGGCACTAAACATTTTGATGTGTGGACGGGTTGTTGTGCATGTGTTGAGAAGATGAACCCCAAAATAACAACACAAAATTTACTAGTCGTTGAGCTTCCTAGGTACAAAAATGCAGATGGAATGTTTGGTTGTGATCAGGCTCAAAGAGCCAAAGACTTAAGGTCACCGAGTAAGTGAGTTAATTTAGTTCGTTATACTATAGCATTACTCAAGTGATTTGACTTATTTATACTTATTAACCTTTAAATATATTTTTTTATGGTTGAATGGTTTCGCTATTTAGTAGCCAAACTCCAACCTTGCAAAAGTTTGCCATGAAAGTATTAAGTCTAATTTGTAGCTCATTCGGATGTGAGCGAAATTAGAGTGTTTGAACACGTAAGAAGAATATTTTATATTCTAATTTCCATATTATATTATTATTAGTATCTATTGGTTAATATCTACAACAGCAGATTAATTCCAAAAAGAGAAATAGGGTGGCACTATCGCGTCTCAATGATTTAGTGTACGTTAGTCAATAAGTACAATAGAATATTGAAACGTCGCTATGATGCTCATGATACCATTGATGCAATTGCCTTGGAGAATATTGATGAGTCAAATGAATGGTTAGTTGGATGCCTCGAAGATCAAGAAGATAAACTAGTATATGAGGAAGGTGATCTTACTTGGGGTATTGTTGCTACGGCAATTGTAGCTAACAAGAATATCTATGGTCTAAGGGGAATTTCTTCAAGTTCAACGGCACTTGACAAGGTCAAAGGAGTATAAACTACATCTACAAGTTCAAGTAGGACTCGAACACTAACTGATGAAGAATTTGAGGAGGAAGATGAGGAGCAATATAATCATAATGAAATGGATGTTGAACATCAAGATTTTGATAATTTTGAAGAAGAATAGACTTTTAGAGTTCTAATATTGTTTGTCAATTGTCTTATGAATTATTGAGTCATTCAAGTTCTAGACTTTGAATTGAAATATTTGTTAATTTGTCATTACTGTTGACATTTTGGATATTTATAAATGCAATTAAATATTTTATGTTTTTGGTATTAATTAGCGCCTCAATTCAAAAAGGCGAGCGCCTAACCGCGAGGCGAGGCAAACCCTTGTCGCTTTTTGCTGTCCGTCTATTCCTTGAGTAGATCTGATCAATGATTAGAATGACTATTCAATTCACACAGTCTTTGCACTATTTCAAGGGATTGTGATATTGAGTATGCATACAAATTGCAAATGAAATTTTTGCAAAGGGGGATAGATGGAAGAGGGTGGACAAAACATTTAAAATAATTGAATATACTCAACATTCGAGAACTTCCAGAAAATTGTGTCAGTTCTTTTTTATATAAAGAAGAAATATGGATTAGTTACTTTGTGTATTAACAAATCAACTTTGACTTTCCTGACGGTAGAATGCACTTCGATTCTAGTAAGTGGTTCCCCTTGCCTGCGTGCAATTGGGCACATATTTACAAAATCAATTTAACAAAAGAATATACTAGAAAAGCAAATAGTCATACTTTTTATATATTAATGATAAATAAGTTCACAAAATTGTTGCCATAAAAAGAGGGAACGCAAGCGTAATATCATAAATCGCAAGAGAAATTAGTGTTAGAAAGTTGAACCTCGAGGGAGGTCTCTAAAATTATCCCTATAATTAATCTTGACACAAAATTGTACCCGAAGGTGTGGCCTAGTGGTTAATCAAGTTGGTTGAGAACTATTAGGGTTTCAGGTTCAAATCGCAGCAGCTGAGACAGAAATACTAATGATGGTTTCTTCCCATCTTTCCTAACCCTGGTAGTTGGAGTTACCTGGTACCTATTGCTAGTTGGGGTGGCAAGTTTCCCCTGTAATTAGTGAGGTGTGTGCAAGTTGGCCCTGACACCACAGTTAACAAAGAAAAAATCTTGACGCAACTTTTAAAAAATTTAATCTTGAAATGAACTCTACCATGAACTCTTGTACATCCCCTTGAATAAACATCAAACTAGTGTATACAATATCAAAGACAAAAATTCATACCAAGGTTTGTCCGGTGCAATAAGCTACTCCTTCAAATGGCTCTGCACACAAAGACAAGCAGTTATTTTAAAGACATTACATATGTAGTAAAACATTGGAAAGAAAATGTACTACAGCAAGGCTGATAAAAATTTATCCACACTAGAAACATAGAATTGTCCCAAATTATATAAACAGGTGCATCATATACTAACCTAAGAGATAATTTTTGTCATAAGTTGGCGTCCACCAGGGCCGCAGCTGCAATTCTTCATTGAAGGTCAATGATTTGGTTCCAATTTCATCTGTGAGTTCAAGAAACTGAACTCCTTGTTTCAAGCTTTCAAGAATGCCCTAAGCAATCCCAAAATGAAAATTTGTCACTGACAAATTACAGTAGAATACAATTTAAATACCCCCACCCTCGCAAGTTTTCAGTTACGGAAGCACAGTTGTGTATACCTTCCTACCTTTCAATTATTTGAATATTTCATAATACCACATCTGATAGCAAGTATCTTAAAACCAATAGCATTGAACTTGACCATAATCTCTTTTTACAGAAAATAAAAAGTAAAGAACCATAAGCATTAATTACTAAATTGTGTTATCTATAATCAACTGAAGCTAAATTTAAAAGATAACAAAGAAAAGAGTCAAGGGGAAAGAGAAGAGTGTATGCACATTCCTCCTTTTAACCAATTGTTTCAAGTTTGACAGATCTATCTATAGTTTCACTTTATTCAATCAACAGGGCATGTGAAAGTTAGGCGAAATAGGTGTCCAATCCAACAACCCTAGGGCTAAAATGTATTTCAAAGCAATTGCAGACACAAACATGCAAACAAAGAATCGTTTAGAAGAAAAATTTAAAGTGACAAGGACAACGGTTACCTCCCCTTCTTCAATATTATTTGCTTTCTGTTTTAACTGCAGAATGGGTATTTCAATCTTTGCCATCAAATACTGGTTAGATTGTTGCAATCGCTCCTTGAACTGAACAAACTCAATAACCTAGAAAAGTTCGCAGATGAAGATTTTGTTACCATTGGGCTAGCTCATTGTATGATTACTAATTTATCGTTTCGTTCACAAAGGGAACCATTAGAATTTGAAATGATACTAAGAGAGAATCATTATGATAAGCAGTGTAGGTTTCTACACCAGAAAATAAATAATTGCTCCAATAAATACCCACTCAAGACTCACATCGCAAGAACTAAGTTGTCCAGAAACAGTTAAAATTTCTTCCTGTTAGCCTCTTTCCTCACTCACTATAACAAGAGGAAAGGTTTACAACAGTGGAAAAAAAGCAATGCGCAAAATTCGCTCAAAACTCTTAAAAACAACTTAACCTTATTTTACTTTACTTACTTTGAAAGAAGATTACAGACTATACAAATAAAGTAAGAGAATTCATGTACCATTTTAGGAAATAGGTACTTCAAAAGTTTACTGACTAGCTATCTACCTTCAGCAGGCTGACCTTCGGCTAAAAGGCTACTTCCTATATTAACGCAGGATTCCTACACTAATATAAGATGCTGGTTTCCTTCTTCTAAAGTTGAGAGCAACAGAAAGCAAAGAACAAGAGGAGTCTTAGTGAGACTAAGAGCCTGTTTGGCATTGTTGTTGGGAGGCCAAAAGTGCTTTTTTTTAAAGAAAAAAAGCACATTTTTTGAAAAATCAAGCTTTTGGCAAATCCTTAAAACTACTTTTAAATGGAAGCAGAAGCAGTTTTTCTGCTGTTAGGAAGAAGTTAAAAATTTTTGCTTCTTAAAAAAAGCAGAAGAGTTTTTTCAGACTAAAATATGTCTTTCATATATACATATTTACCAATACATCTCTTATTAATTAATTAGCATATCTCATAAGTTAGGTTAAGTTTCATTCAAGAATTTTATTTTTTATTTTTTATTTTTATATAATAATTTTATTTTATTTTTACTTTATTTATTATTTTACGTATTATTTTACAGAATTAGAAATAAAGGTAATAACAATATTTTTGCAGGAATAGAAAAAAAATTAAGTAGAAATATTTTTAAAAAAAACAATATCATTTTTAGTATGTAGTGATTTAATTTGTGATATCATTTTTAGCATGTAGTGATTTAATTTGTGATATCATTTTTCGTATTAGTGATTTAATTTGTGGAATGGTTTTTAAAATTATTTTGCTTGATATTTTTAATTATATTTAAATCACCACGTGAATATTATATTAATATTTAATTTATTTATATATCTATCTATGTATAATATTAATTAGAAATTTGAATATCTACATTTTATTTAATTCAAATAAAAAATGAAATTAAAATTTTTGTAATAGAAATTTAAAATATTTCTCTCTATAAAATAATCTTAATATTAAAAGTACATTGATACTTGCCCTTTTTCATAATTTGACTCTCAAAAACACTTTTTTAAAAAGATTAGTCAAACAATTTGCTTATCAAAAATACTTTTCAAATGAATTAGCCAACCACAAATTGCTTTTTTCAAAAGCACTTTTCTGAAAAGCTATTTTAAAAAAAGTGCTTCTAAAAATAAGCAGTTTTTAGCAGCAATGTCAAACAGGCTCTAAAAGTGATGCAACACAGCACACATGTTATACCCTCCAAAATGATAGCAACTAGATTACAAGTATAAATCTATTCATTTAAACCTCATGAAAAACAGTTCCACAATTATTAAGAACTAAACTACGAACAGGTCAGCAATTAGTAGAATGCAAGACGGAAAATATCTGATATCTATCGTGTGGTATAACTTAACCTGGCCATGTTGCACTCTCGCCAACAGCATAGTCGCTTATTGACTTTCAGCAACAGCATGAATGCCAAAATATATTTATATCTGGTATTTTGACATGCATTCATAACAGGCCAAGTCGTACTCTCACCAATAGCATACAACTAGCCAAGTTGTGCTCTCATCAATCTCATCAGAACTTTGTATAAAGAGAGAGAGACACGGAGGGAAGATTTGGGATGGAAAAAAGAGAGAGCAATCTAAAGCCAAAAGGTGACAAGAAAAAAGGGACAAATTTCTAAGTCTCTAGGAAATAATTAGATTTTATCATGACGGGTATTCCTGCATCATGCAGCAGAAGCCTGGCATCTGTTCCTCTACCTATTAAGAGACAATTGATATAAAGTTATCATTCAACAGCACAGTGTACAAACAAGAATCTGCCAAGATGAAGGTTTAAGAACAGGTATGGCTTAGATTGCATGCTAGAAACTTCAGTGCATTTTTGGAACTTGGATTACAACATCAATTTGCCTTCAGAATGTTTGATAATTTATTGTTTACAACTAATGTTGGATAATTTTTTAAGTATTTAGTTTCCACATTAGAAAAAAATGCGTACTCTTAAAGCTGAGATCTATTCTATTTGAACAAAAAGAACCCACCCTAACACAGCTTGAACTGGGATGGTAAATTTAGAACTGTAAACGCCAAAGGAATGATATTCGTAGGTCTCTTACTTTAGAATAACTTCGATGACGATATGCAAGAAATGTAAGATCAGCAGATTCCCTAAAGTGATCATCCATGAATCTTAAATAATCCCTCAAAATATCTGTTGAATCAGGCCACAATGGTGATGCTAACATCTGTGGCAAAATGTGGTGTGATACAGTTTCCAACAATATGTTCTTCACGTCCAGTGATTTATACCTACATAGGAAGAGAACTATTACCATATAAGACAGAGAGAAGTGTAAACAATGAAATCCCAGAGAACTGATTTCTAAAAAGACAGAAACAAAATGAAACACAAACATGTAATGAGCTGATTTCTGGGGACAAAAAGGAAACTAATTCTTACCATTCATACGCCAACGGAAGAGAATTCCAGTGAGAGTACAAATGCAACAGCAAAATCTTGTACTGCGAAACATGTCTGTCAACCATGCACCATAGATATCATACATCATGAAAAAAAAAATTAAAGAGAAGACAAGCACTTAAAAGATACAAGTATCATGAAGGGTTATCAAAATTCAAATCAGCATAGTTCTATAATTATATGATAAGGAACTGAAGTTTTTATAGCATATGAATTCAATAGCTGTAACTCTATATATGTAGAGAAGTAATAGTAAAAACTCATTACAAATTTTACAGTAAAAGAATGGTAAATTAAAGCTTCAGGCTTCCTGCAGTAGTTTAAACTTGTGCAACAACAACAAAGAATAGTATGGCCTCATTCTCGGCTGCCATCCTCTCTTAATCTGCACAAACTTTCATTTTTTCAATTGGTTATCTTCAAATGCCCCCTTCCTATTTTTGTTAGCAATGGAGGGTCTCAATCAGATGATTTGGACAGCTAAGGATAATGGATCGGTCCGAGGCTTTGGAACTCAGTTAAATACTGGTGATGGTTCTGAAATCATTAATTATATGCAGATGACTCCCTTGTTATTAGTGAAGCTGAAGTGGATCAGATAAGCCATCTTAGAGCAATCCTTGTTATTTTTTAAGCTATTTCTGGCTTACATGTGAACTGGAGTTAAAGCTTCTTATTTCCAGTCAACCAAGTATCAAATTTGCAACTTCTTGCAAGCAACCTAGGATGTCAGGTGGGGATATTTCCAACAAAATATCTGGGGATGGCTTTGGGGAAAAAAAATAAGTCAGTAGAGATGAAATGAGGTTATCGAGAGAGATGATAATAAATTGGCAAGGTGGAAAATCTAATATTTATCCATAGGTGGAAGATTGATACCTACCTATTAATTCAGTGTTGGATGCTCCCCCCACTTATATGATGTCTGTTTTCCCAATCACTAGAGGGGTAGAAAAAAAGCTCGACAAGTTGAGGAGGGAGTTTCTTGGCAAGGCAACAAAGAGAACAGAACCAGCAACCTGGTGAGATGGGATGTATCACTCTTAATAAGAGGCAAGGTGGTATGGACATTAAGAATCTGAGGCTACACAACAAACGTCCTTTGCAAAAATGGTTATGGAGGTTCAATATGAAAGATGTGGCACTGTGCAGAAATTTCATCATTCAGAAGTATTGATAGGTAAATCAGTGGATGTGATGACCCTCGGGGTCCTTTCTGTGTTTTATATGTGCTTTTCCTGTTTTGCCCCTTCTCGTAGCTTTCTTTTAGCTTTTGTGTGATGTGGGGTTGGGTGCTCCCCGAGGTGTTCGGTTGAGTTTGATGCAAGTTTTGAGTTTTGGAAGCTTAATGCTTGAAAGAATTGACTCCAGTCAACATCCAGAGATTATAACGTCGGATTGGAATTAAGTCAGTTCCATCAGCTCCGGAAGTCTCATTTTGGTCTAGAGTGATGATTGGTTCGGGCTTCCGTTTAGAGTTAGTGCAATTAGGCATTTTAGCTTTTGAGTTTAGCCAAAAGTTGGTCTTGGGACAGCTTTCTTGGTAAACGTGCTCGAAATCGAATTTCATCAACATGGTTAGCTCCGAAATGCTAAATTTGGTCTAGAATGACCTGTGGTTTGGATCCCGAGGGTGTCAGAGTGAGTTTTAACTTCTTGGCATTTTGTTGTGTTTCTTTGTAAAAGTGTTGACTTCGGTCAACATTTTGATGAAACGGCCTCGGATGGCTATTTCGTCGATTCCGTTGAGTCTGAAATGTTGTTTCCAAGTGGTTTGCACTTTTGGTTTGCGTCGTTTGGACTCCGAATGAATTTCGAGGGCTTATTCAAAGTTTTGGACACTTGGCCTATTGTTTTGAAAGATTTGGTGTCTGGTGTGACAGCTTGAGCAAACTCTTGATCGTTTAAGCGATGACCACTTGAGGGGAGAGGGTCGCTTAAGCAACCAGCCCTTGGATTTTGTGAAGGCTGCTTAAGTGACCAATTGGCCGCTTAAGCCACAAGTGGCCGCTTAAGCGAAGGGCGCCTCTTAGGCGGGCTCCACTTTTGCGAACATTTGGCCGCTTAAGCGATGTCTGCTTTTGCGAACATTTGGCCGCTTTTGCGAAGATCGCTGGGACTAAAATCCCATTCTTCCTCCCTTATTCCCAAAAAGAACCCTCTTGAGTAGGAGCTCAGCCTTGGAGGTTTTGGAGCATTTCTTGACCATTATCAACCATTCAAAAGTAGTTTTATTCATCTTCCTCTCCTCTATGCTTTTACATCTTTAATTTGTAATTCGAACTCGTTTCCGACCTCAAATTCCCTACTTTCTAAACTTTAAAATGAGGTTATTTGGCCATTTGAGGTCCGAATTGAGTCTCGTTTTCACCCATCTTTCGGGCATGTAATCCTTATTACAAGGAGGATAGTGGGACAGTTTCATTGTAGTAATTTTGTTTCTTCAATTCGAGGGTCAAATTTTTACCCACCAATCAGAATTTTGGGTTAGAGATATGCGTACCATTGGACCCGTAATAACTTACTCTTTGTGTTCTTGATAGCTTGGCAGCAATCCAAGGCTCTTCATAAGGGAAAAGCACAAGAGTTGTAGTTCTTGTGCGATTTTCAACCTCGAGGTAGGTTATGGCTTCCTTTTCTTAGACATGGCTTAGTTAGATTGATTATATTTGGGTAGTACTTGCATGATTTAGGTTGAACCCTTATGTTGTGTTGAGCTTTATTGATCCTTGGATAGTTATGGCCGTAGGTTGGATTGGTTAGCTTAAGCTTTAGTCGGAGAGGCCATAGTTTAGGTGATCCTTGTACTATGTTGCTCGGACTCTTCAAAAATGTCAACGGGTGCGTATCAAATTCCCAAAAGGTAGTGTATTTTTGGAGAATCCGACACAGGTGCAGCATCAAAAGTGAAGAGTCCGCGCAACTATGTCCTTGTATGAGTAGTATACTTAGACTCTGCTTCTAGGTGGCGTGAAACTTATGATTGTGTGGTGTTTGATTGGTTTGGCTGGTTTGATTGATGGTATGGATCCTTGAGTTGTGACTTTGGTTGTTTATTAAACTGTTGGACCTGAGGCCCTGAGCTTGGATTGGCAGGAGTTCCAGGTTAGTATTATTGTGGTGTGACGGCTATTCTTCCAATTCTATGTGTATGACATGATTTGGTTGTGATAATGCTTCTGAGGAGTTTCTACATGGTTGATTGATGGCAAAAATGACTTGGTTTGTAAAAAGGAAGTTAACCGTAATGAGTTGGAAGTCCTTGAGACTTGTTTTGAATAAAAAGTGGTAAAAAGGCCCCTTTTACTTGATTTTTCGCACCTTTCGACTGCTTTTTACACTGATGAGCTCGATGTATCATTCTGAGCGGCCCATTGGCTTAGGCTCGACCTAAAGTCTACTACTTAGATTCACATTGTTGATAAGCTCAAAGTACCATCCCGGGCGACACGTTGATACAGATATCCGGGTTTCTGGCGGATCGTGGATACATTTATCCGGGTTATTGTCTTACGGTTAAGTTTGAGCTACCATTCCTGGCAGCTCAATGTTTCTTCCAGGCTGAAGATATTTCCCTTACTTGGAGTTTTCATTGTATCATTGCATGAGTTTGCCTTTGAGTGTGTTGATTGTCTGGTTTGTGTGTAGCTTGTAGCTGATTATTGATATCATTTGCCCTCTCTCTAGTATATTCTTGCTATGCTTTAGTTTTCCCTTTTCTTGCTAGTAGCATCGTGCTTCTTTTATTTGATCTTTCTGAGCTCGTTCGGCCTATGACACCTACTGGGTACCCCGTGTTTTGGTACTCATACTGCACTTTTGCCTCTTTTTTTTCCTGATGCAGCTCCCAGTTCTAGCCACCTTCAGTGAGCATTTGGATCTCATGTGGCTGTCACAAATTTGGATTATGGTGAGCTCCTAGGTTCACAGACTAGTTGTTGTCCTTTTGTACTAACTTTCATGTTGTATTTTAGGTTAGGCAGTTCTCTCTCTCTCTCTCTCTCTCTCTATATATATATATATATATATATATATATATATAGATAGATAGATATACATACATATATATGACTTTCTGTTTGTAGTAGCTCTTGTATAGGTGACACCAGGTCCCGGGGATTGGTATCTTGTGTTAGTTTGTCTTTTGGTCACTTTTGGGCCTATTTTGTAGATTTTGAATCGTACTACAGATATATGACATGGCCCTTCTTTCTATATACATTATCCTTTTCTTCCGCTTTTTATTATTTATGTATTATATAAATTTTGTCTTCCGCATCTTGTTACTTGGGTTGAGGCTTGTCCACTCGGTGGGTTGTAGTGGACGCCGTCATGGCCCGACTTAGGGTCGTGATAATGGATCACAAATGAAGTTACAAGTGCATATGGCACTAGCGTCCGGAGTTCAATAAGAAATCAGTGGAAGGATTTTTGGGGAAAAGTAGAGAATGTAGTGGGATCTAGGAGGATCAATGGAATGGTGTTAACAACTTGAAGTCTACCTTCCCTATTCTATATATATTAAGCCTTCAAAAGCATGCTAAGATAGAAAAAGTTATGGAGTCAACAAAGTTGGGATTTGAATTTCAGAAGAGCTCTCAAGGACTAGAAAATTGAGAGTCTTGCCTTAATGCTTCAATTTTTGCATACTTCTAGTGGTATTTGAATTGCCTACATGCTTTAATTTGAATCCTGAAAGATACCTGTATTGGCCTTGGAAGATCATTTGCAAAGCTAAAGTTCCGGTAAAGATATCATGTTTTGTTGGTTGGTGGTAAGTGTAAAGGTATGGCACATGGGCCTAACTAACCCCAAAATTTAGCTCATGAGAAGAGAATTGTCAAAGTCCATATAAGCAAACCACCAGTCCATTCCCCAACTAATGTGGGACTGATACCCACTCTTACATGCCCCTTCACGCCCATGCCTAATTGGGACGTGGACCGGGATCCCAAACGGGGATGAACCTGGCTCTAAAACCATGAAAAGGTATGGCACATGGGCCTAACTCAACCCCATAAAGCTAGCTCATGAGAGGAGGATTGTCCAAATCC